CCCTACCTCAAAGGGAGCTCCCCACCACCCTGTGGAGAAAGCTCATTTCGGCCACCTGTATCCGAGATCTTGCTCTTTCAGTCATGACCCAAAGCTCATGACCATAGGTGAGAGTTGAAACGTAGATCGACCGGTAAATCAAGAGCTTCACCTTACAGCTCAGCTCCTTCTTCACCACGACAGACCGGTACATCGACCGCATTACTGCTGAAGCTGCACCGATCCGCCTGTCAATCTCCCGTTCCATCCTTCCCTCACTCGTGAACAAGACCCCAAGATACTTGAACTCCTCCACAAGATTAATTCATTGGTTTAATATACCCACAGCACCACAGGGTGCAATTAATTAATCTGATTAATTAAAGGGAGTTTTTCCTCCCCACTGTCGCCAAGTGCTTGCTCGAGGGGGATTTGTTGGGTTTTCCCCCCTGTAATAATAATAACAGTAAGATCTAGATCTTACTTTGTAAAATGTCCTGAGATGACTTCTGTTGTGATTTGGCGCTATACAAATTTGATTTCATTTGAAATGTTTCACAGTTCAGCAAGACAAACTCTGAATTCCTGCCTAAAAGATGACTTACCCTGAAATGAAGATTTTCAACAGAATGCCACAATCCAGCCCACCTCGAGCCAGCTGAGAACAGGATTCAGCGAGAAAACCTTTGACTTTTATTCACATCAAGAGCTTAACCAATTATGTTTTTAATCAGTATGATCATTTTAGATTGATGTTTAGAAATAGTAGTTGATTTATTTAGATTGTAAGCCAATCAAGACAATTATTGATGGTTTTAATGTTATATCTTGCTGCTTGCTGCTGTGCTGTAACCTTTTTAACCTTCTATATAAAATTCCTGAAAGGGATTAATACTCTGTCTTTGAGTATATTGGGATGCTATTAATATTCTTCTGATTTTAGTGGGTTTACACTTTTAAGTGGTAATGTTAAAGCTGCACATACAGGCACACAAACATTATAATGAGTGTTTGATATTACACAACAATTCACAGTGTTGACAGTAGTTCAGCTTGTGCCCTGGCTGCTGTCAGCGTAACTTGGCCACCCGTCTGTCTGGATGTCTCCTGATGCATCAGCATGTCTCTCAAAAGTGGGGTCAGAGCATCCCATCATTCACTCTCACAAACCACAGGAGCAGCACATATGTCACCACAGCCTGGATGACTGAGATCGCCATATGTCGTGGGTCATGGCATCACCCTTACCCCTAAAACATGGCAATACACACTCCACAGGAGCAGGATTTTACCTGGTAAGAAATATGTGTGAGACATGAACTAATGACATTATAGTCACTCTGCCTCAGAGGAGAGGAGAGTATTCTTTGCTGTGTAGTGGATAAATAACTTCCCTCATCAACATGGTAACATGCTGCTTAGCTTGTGTTACAGTGCTGGCAGTCCATTCGCTAGCCTGACCACAACCTGCTTTGCTTTCTATATCAGAAGTTTCCCAAGGAGAAGAGGACAGTTACAAACAATCCTAAGACCATTAATGGAAACTTTAACAGAGGAAAATAACTTGATGGCAAACATAGATAATCTGAAAAAAATAAAAATACTCACAAATAAGACAGAGCTCCTGGTGTCCTGTGTCTCAGCTCAGCCATCTCCCAAAAGGCTCGACTTGTTGCCCACTATCAGACTAGCATATCAGCAAAACACTGAGCAACTGGACAAATGGAGCATTTTTGTCTGACAAACACCATGTGATAAACTAATGAATGGTCAGTGTTGCATGAGAAAAGCTTTGCAGTGAGAACAGTGCACAAGTCCAATAGAGCTGGAGATATTGATTTTATTGTTTTACATTTCCACAATACAACATTTTCAGTTTGAGACAGTCAAAAAAAAAAAAAAAGAGAAATACTAAATCAAAACAACCACACATACATATAATTTAATCTGGAAACCTCATATACATACAGTGCAGCGTCTGGAATTCTATCACCCATTCTTGAATCCATGGCAGAAGAATAACAAACATTCGATGTGACATCAATAAATTAAACATGTAAGGTCATGTACAGCTTTGTTACTAGGCATTTCTCTGTGACTGGTTGGAGCAGACACCCATTAGCAACACATTGCTCCAAGCAACTTATATTGTGGGGTAGAAGTTAATGAAGCTGTGAAAACTGTGACAGATTCCTCAGAGGACAGGTGGTTCAACATCCAGGCAATCAGCCAATCCCGTCACCCTGAACTGATCAGTGTAAACTGAGACCCCTGAAAGGGAGCCGCAGAGACAACCAGTCATTGCAGCTGTACGGTACCCGGGTTCTGTAAAGTTCAGCTGCAGCATTTGTCACATCCCTTAATGCACAGAAAAATACAGCAACACATCACACAAACACAATGCGTCTCTTTTGGATCGGAAAATTTGTTTCACAGACAGATGAGTGACGTCTTTCACAAGACAAAAATAAAAAAATGAATGGAGAGAGTTTTCCTCTAATACAGTGGAGCCAATTAGTCCATAAACCTGCGATTTGGGTTGGCACCGAAGAGAGCCACTCGGATTTCAGGCATCATCTGCAAACACAGAAACTCATGGTCTATGCAAAGTAAAAAAAACAAGTGACTGATGCCTGACATAAAAGAAACTGATTATAATAATTACAGCTACAAGTATGAGTCAAGTAATCAATACATCCATCAAAAGAGCTTTGTCATTTTTCAAGCAAAAAATCCCAAGTCCCAGATTCTCAAACCTGGTAATGTGTTAGTTTTCTTTGTCTTACATTATAAAATATTTAATATTGTTAATTATATATAATCAGTTGGTCTGACAAAACAACACAGTTTTCTGAGACTAAATGATTCTTCAAATCAAGAAAATAACCAGCTAAGCTTTTTAACTTATTCATCCTGGAAGGTCTTATTGAGGATAACTAATATATGTCAGAAGATCTAAGTTTAAAGTTTGGGTAGCGTGACAGATAATCTCATTTTGTGAAAAGCAAATTTAACAACTGCGCTTCTTATTTACAAGTTGAGCCAGTCACTGTTTAACCTGAGCAAATACAAGGCAAATGCTGTGTCTCAAGGCAAATATTGGAGAGAGGATGGATTCAGGGTGTGAGAAAAAGTCCATTTATTTTGAAAAAAGATTGGAAAATGGTTTTACTCACTGTGGGGCCCTGAAGATTTATGACAGCATGGTCTGACACCCCGGGTAAACTTCATTTAACTTGTATACTGATGTTCCATATGAATGCTCGTCCATTTAATTGTGTATTATCAACAAGATAATTCAATTTAAGACTTGATGGCAGTTAGCCTAAATGGGTTGTTTTTTTGTATTTGTTTAAAATAACTTTAGAGAAATCGATGTGTTATCGATGGATAGAAGTACGGATCTACCTGTAGGTAGTGATGGCTGATCGAGGCTTTGTTGAAGCTTCGACACAGTGTTCACAAAAATGGTTCATTACTGGAGGCTTCAATGACACAGCGCTCCAGTAGGACATCTAGTGGTCAATAAAATGAAGTGCAATCAAGACGTGTCATTGGTTCATGGATTTTTTGGGATTTGATTCGCCATGCATATTCCTGTTCAACTACACTACATGGTTGTATGGTTTCAAGATCACAGTAAAATATTAAATAAACATGAACTCATGTTTCTTATTTGGCATGTCTGATTGTAACCCTATATACTCTTCACTTATATTTTTGATCTTCACTTATATAAACTTTCTGATCGTGGACTGAGGGCGGTGATGGTCAAGTTGATGAAAGAGAAAGATAAGGCAAACATTCTGCAGCAAGCGAAGAAGCTTAAGGGAACTAATATTTACATCAATGAAGATTACCCCGAGTCTGTGAGGAAGAGAAGAAGAGAGTTGATGCCGATGTTAAGAGCGGCTAGGGTGAGAGGAGAAATCGCTTTTCTGCAATACGACAAATTAGTGACCCGACCTCGGAACCAGAGTCCTGGACCCATGACCAGCACGCCGAGGCAAGGAGAGTATGAAGGGGCCACTGGACCCTCAGCGGTGTGAAGAAACATGCAGGTATATTGATATCTTTTTAGTTTTCACCTACACTTTAAAAGTCTTCATCTGAAAGCACTGGTTTGGTTGGCGCAGTAAAAACAACATTTTCCTGTCTGGTTTTCTAATATAAAATATGAAGAATATTTAATTTGACTGATGAGGGTCATTATTATAAAGATAGTGTTTTTGTTTGTTTGGTAAGTACATGTTAAGTACATCTTGTCAGTCAGAATGAAATATCCTGATGTAGAGTACTTTGAAAAGTGCACTCATATGTCATCATAAACCACATTATTATGATTTACCATTTAGATTCATTCTGAAGATGTTAGATATTACCAGGCATCTGAGGAAAAGTACAACCGGGTCATGTACAAACAAATGTTTTCTTTTTCACAGATTTGACACCACATAAAAAAGAAGACAGTTAAAAAAAGGGGAAGTGGCAAATTTACTGAATCTCAAAACTCAAAACTGCTTTGTGTGGTCACACAGCTTTCTCCTTCCCATTTTTATTCAACCACCAAACCTACAACTGCTTTTAAGAGAAGCACATTAAATCACATTTTTGACCATCTTTCCCACATTTTCACACCGACTCATCTATCTGGGTGAAACAGACCAAAATGCCACTGAAGCAAAATGACATGTTAAACATGACGACCAACGTTTACCATCCAACCTGACAGCACTGGAGAGGATCTGCAAGGAGGAATGGCAGAGGATCCCCAAATGCAGGTGTGAAAAACTTGTTGCATCATTCCCAAAAAGACTCATGGCTGTATTAGCTCAAAAGGGTGCTTCTACTAAATACTGAGCAAAGGGTCTGAATACTTATGACCATGTGATATTTCAGTTTTTCTTTTTTAATAAATCTGCAAAAATGTCAAAAATTCTGTGTTTTTCTGTCAATATGGGGTGCTGTGTGTACATTAATGAGGAAAAAAATGAACTTAAATGATTTTAGCATATGGCTGCAATATAACAAACAGTGAAAAATCTAAGGGGGTCTGAATACTTTCCGTACCCACTGTACCTCGTACAGGTCTCTAGTTCTTAAGTACTCTGTTTTATCCCTCTTTATCTTATTTCAATGAACATTCCTTTGTCTGCATTGTTTACTGTCTGTTTACACTGCTTATTCTGCATTGTTTGTACTGTTTGTTGATGTTAATACTGCTACTTTGTTATATTACACAGCCTTATGCTGGTCTACTCTTTGCACATTGAGAGCCGATGTACCAGAGTCAAATTCCTTGTGTGTCCGTCACACCTGGCTAATAAAGCTGATTCTGATTCTGATTAACCAGGAATTCCTGAGATTAAAAATCTCTGAGTGTCCTCACCAAGTTAAGTGGTCACAGTGAGGTACATTATAAAAACAGAGAACAAATATATTCTCAAAGACAACCTAAAGTGGTATTTAAAATCAAACTATACAGAAGTTTAAACTATCATTAAACATTATGACTGGTTATCACTGCCTCTTTTATGTCTGCTGGTCACTTATACACTGTTGAGCAGTTTTTTCCTTTGTCTCCATCTGGTGACAACTGATGTTGTTTGCAACTCCTCACATGCAAAGTTGAGTAGCATGAGAGCTAGGGCTGGGCGATATGGCAAAAATGTAATCTCGATAATTTCTTTTCCCATATTGATCGATAACAATATATTTTTCGATATATAAACTGTTAATGCTGCCAGCTTTCAAAGAGTATCCCAAGTATGAAGCCACAAAAATTTGAGGATCCATTAGTTTAAAAATTAAGACAACTTACTAAAATAAATTAAAAACTAAAAGTTGTAACAAAAGAAGGTAAATTAGAGTAAACGTGCAGTGCAAGTAAACATAAAACTGTTGTAAACATAATTTGTAAGTAACACAATTACAGTTTTTTCTTTTCCAGAAAGACAAGTCTGTCTACATCACCTGGCTTTAAGAGGTAGATTAAATGTGGTAAATATAAAAAGTATACAACTAGAAACTTCACACAATTTGTCAAACTTTTACATTTTTTGTGTCAGGAACACTAGACTGTCAACCGTGTCTGGATTTAAGAGGTGGTGCAAAAATGTGCAAAATGTAAACATATTTAACATATGTTCAACTTATTCATCAGAATCTGTAAAACACAACAACTTTTTTTTGAAGACCAGTCTCAGTCTGTCAACAATGCCTGGCTTTAAGAGGGAAATTAAATGTGCAATAAAACTATAACATAAGACTATAACATTTCTAGCCAGTGCACATATTTTGTAAAAGGTTTACAGATGTTTTGCCAGAAAGACTAATCTGTCCACTGTCTGGCTTTAAGTCTGCCCTGTTGCAGGATGCAATATTACCCCCTGTGCTAAAAGCATGCTCTGAGTCTGAGGGTGAGCTTGTGGCAGGAATGCCGGGGGAATGGTTGGGCAGGAGGCCTACTCTGGGCGAAGTTGGTGACTTACACT